AAATATTCCCATGGAGAAAACGTCCGGAATCGCCTGGGTAATCGGATATTCATGTTGCAAGAAACCACGCTATTGAACGACAATAACGATCCCGTTGGATCTTGGTCTTGAGCTGTCTTGAGTAGCGTCAGTTTGGCCAACGATAACTTGCTGCAACAAAAGATTGAGATAGCAGTGAGCAGTACATTGGTAAAAGCCAAAACAGACATCATGAATGATGAATCTATCCAGCAACATGAGCCAACAACGTAGGGAAAAAGGTAAGTACCTGTCAACAGTCAACTCGGAATGTACAAGGAAGAACAACACATATCGAACAAAGCCGAAGAAGAGTCTGAATACACACAGTGCATCTTCGGACTCGAGGAAGCGCAGGGGGGTGGGTGAAAAATAGGAAACTGACATTGAAGAGAAAGAGACTCGGAGTTGGACCCTTGGTCCTAGGAATGATAAGGTTTCCGATGATGCTGGGCGCCAACATCGCAGGCTTTAAAAAGGTATACAGGAAAGAAGAAGTAACCCGTATTGTTTTTAGCTGAAGGAATGAATGGAATCCAAAGAACGGTATGGACTAAGAGAATGGACGTCGATCAGAGCGGAGAGGGATGGATTGAAAAGTTAGAGTTGCGAGGAAAAGTCGGGAAAATTGGGTGATAGCCCCCGATGCACAATGAGGACATTCATCAGCAAGTGTATTGTGAGTTTAGACTTGCACGTTTTCACTGAGAGGACAGTCAGATTGTTCATGTTATGTTCGTAAAGGAGCAAAGATGTGGAAAACGGGCACGTACCTGGCTTGACCTACAACATTTCCAGGAGGATTGTACAAGCACACATGCAGTGTAGCCATTCCTGAGGAAGTAGGGAATATATTCCCGCACTGGGTATTGTACGCGCATCCTACGATGGTCGTATTTGTCCAAACGATCTGCGTGAAGTCACTAAAGGTCGGTGAAGAGGGATCGTAGGAATCTATAGGAATTTCACGATTAATCACAGGTGATCGTATTAATATTGAATTCAAAAATATACCTTCGTCTCCCATGAACGACTCCACCGCCTCATCGATGCCAAAGTTCCCTCCGGTAGCAGCCGCAAGATTTTCTCCGTAAGGCATCTGACTGAGTAAACCATCCGAGTGTTGGAAGTTGCATGCATTGGCCCACGTTTGGGCACCTGCAGCGAGATCTTCTGACCACGTCAGCGGAGAGGCGCCATGTACAGCGCGAATGGTGTTGTGCGCGATGAGATACTGCGTGATATCCAGATCCGAGGCGTCCCTAGAGACATGGGTGGAAGAGCTCGTCACCGGAACAGCTTGAGCTTGGAAGAACGGTGCAAACGCGACAAAGGTGCTGAGAATGCCCACGGTGGTAGTCAAGAAGGAGATGAAAAACATGGTCGTGGAGGCGTATATATACGTGTGAAGGAGTGAAGAGGATAGTATTCGAGCTGGGCTTTGCTTAAAGCAAGCAATGGAGCACAGAACAGCAGGAAGGGCAAGGAGTGCGAAAACGAAACGAATGTGGTAGAAGAGATGAGAAGAGTTGGGGAATAGAACTTTGAACTGAGGTACATATTTGTGTAATCACGATGCCTCATTGTGATGATCAAGAGACTATTATTGTCGCCAAGTCGCTATTCCGAGGGTTTTCATCACACTCGAGGTTCCAACTTGCCAGCTTGAGAGTTGAGATATTTTGTTTCGGAGTAAACCATTCCACGTATTGTTGATCTTGGAACAAGTCTTGCTGAGAAGGACAAGCTGCGCAGATTTTGGTTTGCGCTCGAGTCAATATAGTTCTCTCATAGAAGAAAGAATTGGGAGATTTGTGTTTGTGCCTGACGAGTCTGGTGGTAACCAAGTTGAAGTGAGTGCGAAAAAGTGAAATTTAGCGCCCACCGCCAGTTTTATCTTATCTAATCTATCTTTTTTCATTCTCTGTCCGAAACCAATATGTCGAGCAGTGGAGTACTTTCCAGCTCACCGGTTTCCACCAGAGGCGGCTCACCAGTCCGTCGAAAAGGCAGCTCCAGCATCAGCATCGATGATCCCGAGAACCGTCCTCGACTTTCTCCAACGCTGGCAAGGTCCTTTGATCCCAATGATCCCCAGGTCAGAGAGCGCCAGCAAACTCTGGACATGGACATGGCAATGCAGCTTTCCAAGGCACGCAGGGACACTATCATTTCCTCTCCGCAAGCTTTGCACCAGGAAATGTCAGCAGAGAACCCGGACAGTGTTGCACAAGCAGAGATTTCACCTCGAGAACAGCGGGATATAGATTTCGCCCAAGGGCCTTCAATTGAGGAGCTGGACGACCTAGAGTCTATCACAACCAAACGACAACCCTCGCCTGTAGATCTCAGAGACCTATTACCTCAATCACACGATCCCAGCTTGCTTGTTTCATTGAACGGTGGCCTGCATCCATCTGCTCAACGAGATGATCCATCTGCCTCTGCATACGGTCAACTTCCAACCTACCAAGCAAACATGTCACAGTCTGCCTTCAACTTTGCCCCAATGGAAGCTTTTGCTACTTCCGAAAGGCTCGCTTTGGGAATTTCATCTTCTTCGACCAACACCACGAAATTTAGCCTTCCTCCTCCCAGAAATAGAATGTTTACAGAGGATATGTTCTCATCTACACAGGCCCCTTCTACACGACCTATACCTTCGTTGGATAATACAATCAGTCCCACATCCCTCGACCCTCCGGCCGCAAGCAGCGAAACCGCCGTTTCGGATCCCTCCGCCGTCTCCTCTCCTAATTCGACTCGACAACGTAAACTCAGTCAAAGTAATCCACATCCGCGCTCTCACCGCAAAGGAATCGGGGGGAAGCTTGCTTTATTCGAGAACACCCATGGTGGTTCTTCAGGACCTAACCGAATCCCGTTTTCTCTTGGACCAGGCGGCAATGCTAGTGCTATTGGCGCCCCCAATATGAACAATCTGCCTGCATTTGACGACGGCTCTCCTTCCTTATTTCGACCCGCTACCGCTCCTGCCACGCAATATCCTTCAGTCCCCGGTCTTAACACAGGTCATGATCGACCGTACCGGTTCTCGTTTTATTCTAACGCTCTTCCCTCTACTATACACGCCCGAAGCCTCTCCGAGATCCCTGCCGAAGGGCAGACGTTTGAAGACCTCTTTTCAGGTCTTAGTCGAGAGAAGGCTGACCAACATACCAAAGACAAGCGACCTACCAGCGCAGGACCGAAAGGGTATTTTCCAGGAAACGTCAAGCCTTCGTATAGAAGCAGACCAGGTTTTGGAGGAGGAATGGGCTTAACGAGCTATGATGGGGACGATCCAGAATCTTCCACATGGTGGTTGGACGTTCTGAGCCCTACCGATGAGGAGATGAAGATGCTGAGTAAGGTAAGGCTGACCTGTTGTTTTGGTTTCATCGTTAATGTCATGCGGATACCTCAATTAGGTCTTCGGGATTCACCCGTTGACTACTGAAGACATTTTAATGGAGGAAACGCGCGAGAAGATAGAACTTTTCCGAAATTATTACCTTGTGTGTTTTCGAAGTTTCGATCAGGATTCGTACAGTCCCACATACTTGGAACCTTTGAACATGTACATCATTGTCTTCAGAGAGGGTACTCTATCCGTAAGTCTCGTTATCGATTTTCCAATTGTTAGTTGAACTCCCTTGATACCTCTTTCGTAGTTTCACTTCCGCCCCACACCTCACCCGTCCTCCGTTCGAAGGCGGATCAAACAACTCAAAGACTACATATCTGTCACGTCCGATTGGATTTCTTATGCTCTCATTGACGACATTACCGACGCGTTTGGACCTCTCATTCAAAGTATTGAATACGAGGTTGACTCGATTGATGAGCTGGTACTTATCTTGAAGGATAGTACCGAGCAAACTGATATGTTAAGACGAATTGGAACATGTAGGAAGAAAGTTATGGGGCTGTTGCGTTTGATGGGTAATAAAGCGGACGTTGTGAAAGGCTTAGCAAAGAGGTGCAATGAAAACTGGCAGGTCGCGCCGACTAGTGATATTGTGCGAGAGTTTTCTTTACTTCTATCTTGAGCTTGTCTGATCAAAGTGCATATCACAGGGGTTGTATCTTTCCGATATCCAGGTAAGATCAAACCTCCTGACATAACCCGTGTACAAAACTAATGTCGTTCGTCCAAAGGACCATTTGATCACCATGACCCAGTCATTGAACCATTATGAAAAGATACTCTCTAGGTCCCACTCGAACTACCTCGCTCAGATCTCCATTGAGATGACTGATGCCAACAATCAAATCAACGACGTCCTGAGCAAGCTCACCGCGTTGGGTACGGTTCTTATCCCCATGAACTTAGTCACTGGTGAGGACGTATCCTTTCTCGTCTATCCCATTCTGATTCCGTGCCCCCCTCTACATGTGAGGTGTCAAAACTGACTTTCGTGTTATTCGAATCCTAGGTTTATGGGGTATGAACGTACACGTACCTGGGCAAGACGTTCCGGGGTATGCGTGGTTTGTGTCTATCATAGCATGTCTTGCCGCATTTGCGATCATTGGAGGGTATACGACATACAGGCTGATGTCTCGACGGTAGCCGCCATCTGGGATATTTTTCAGTCGGGGTTCGTTGGCTGTCGCATCGCCGCCAACGCTCTGGAAAACTCCTTTTATACATCGATGCATGTATGGCGTTTCAAGGTTTATTTCTTCGAGGTCTATTAGTATGTCTTAGTACCCGAGCCAGTAGAACTATAGTATCTCTTTTTGGACTTAGCATTGGGATTTATTCATGGAGCATTCTCTTTTCCTTGCGAATCAGAGTTACTGATTCATCCTCTCGGTCATGGTATAGCAATAACATAGTCCTTCGTTGCGTAATCAATGGCTAATTCACCATACCCTTTCATTTTCACGACAGTTAAGTTAGCCTGGTGTAACCAAGCTAGACGACAGTAGAGATCCAATGTTTGACAAAAGAAAAAAGTTCACACGAGCAGTCTAACCCCCGGCGGGACTCGAACCCGCAACCTCCAGATTCATAGCCATACACACTTGGTAAATAGAAGTCTGACGTCATAACCATTAGACAACGGGGGCATATGGCGTTACTGGTACAGACAATTAGATGAAACACTACAAACCCAAACAGTTGGGATCGTACCGTGCTCTTCAGTTGCGAGTCTTCCGCTCATTCCTTCATCATGAAACTCCTGCACTGGTGTACTGTGGTCCCAGAAGGTCCATCTAGCCTTGCTGCAATACGTTTTGCCAAACCAGTCCGAGTGAAATGCATTCGCATATTTCCCTCAGGCGGTAAGCCATTCGAACAGTGTCCGGATATCGTTGGGTTTGTGTTCCTCCAACCTCGCATGACTATATGCTCATACTCGAGCAGTGAAACTGAGCCAGACTCATTCCTTCTGGATGTGTACTTCAATGCTCAACCGGTTCACCCTTCCTCGGACTCGAAGGAGAAACAACGAGCAGCGAACGCGCTAGTACCCACCACAATCGCGTATGCTGGTGGCCAGGTCGATTGTACTCTGGACTTAGGTACTGAGGTACGTTCAATGCTATATAGCACTCGGATAGTTACTCACTATGAGCATCTAGTACGCGACACGGTTAATGATAGTCAAAGGTCAATTCGATACACTCTCTCTTGCAGTCTATGGCGAGATCGTGTCAGAAACCATCATACCACCTCTATCCGCGGAAGAAATTGCCAGCTCTGTGTCAAAACCAGTACCCACACCGGAAAAACGCACAGTGCCCGCGTCAATAGATCCAGCCCATTCCTCCGATCCAACCTTCCTCGCGAGAAACCTTCTTTCCCTCCTAGAAGAGTCACCACCTCTGTCTCTCATATCACGACTTATGTTCTGCCTCAAACCGGATAATGACGACTGGGACGATCCTGATTTCCCGTATCTCTACGTGGACTTTGACCGAGATATATTCCAAACGCCAACAAACATAGAAGATGACGACGAGACTTTGAACAGCGGTGGTGAAGATGATTCGCATTTTGATATCGAAGCAGTGTTGGATGCCATGTCCAGACCAGTCTCAGACGATATCACAGAAGACATGCTGACGAGATTTGCTCAGGTCGTAGCAGACCATATGGAATCGAAGAACAAAACTCAGGCCTCTAATATCGCGAAATTATTCAAACTGGCCGCGTCTCAACGACCATCGCTAGCGCTAGCTCTCTGTGTAAGCTCATACTTACGGTGTTTGGAGAGTGGATTTTGATGCTCAAATATGACAGCAAGCCATCGAGCTTGACACCGTGTTCGATGTTGAAACACTCGATACAGACACCCTTCTGGACCTACTCGACGCCTCTTCCAACGCCGATATCGCGCGTTACTTGCATACTGCTGATTTCATGGACGTCCTATCGACCTTTCTTTCGCCCCCTCACAGCGTCTCTCAACCAAAATCTGCCACCCAAGCTGCCGGGCGTCTAAGGACGCGTCTTGTTTCTTGGGAGATCTTCGAAGATGCCTTGTTAAATCAACACGCTGATTTTGAAGCTGCCGTCGCATTTTTGGGAGACATCGGTTCGGGGGAACAAAGTCTGGGAATCTGGTTGGATAGTATGACGGGACATATAGATTTAGTCAGCAAACTTATGGAAAATCCGCAGACTGTTACAAGTTTGAACAGGAGATATCCAAAGTTGTTCGTCAGGAATAACGCGAATGCTCCGATGTTTACCGGGGGAGCCATGAGCCACGACGAGTTCATTGCGTTTGTCCGAGCGTTCATTGGTGTAGCAAGTGTGTTGTCTGTATGGGCATGGTCAGATAGCTTGGGAGATGATGTTTGTCGCGAGAGAACATTGGGTGTGCTGAGACTCTGGCAGGGTACGGAAGAATATCGAGAGGTTCGCATCCATGATTTTCAAATGAAAGTCCCTCCCTTGTTAACTCTATCAACAGATTGTGAACTACCTCCTCATCCTCCGCCAATTCACACTCCGTCTGAAATGGATCATCAGTAACGACACACCCCGCAAGTCTGGTATCTTCGGCGAACAAATCCTCACCGACCTCCTCGATGAACCACTCGCCGCTCTCAATGACGATCTCGTCCAGACCGTTCTCTCGCTCAAACAACCTCTTTCATACATCCCCGAGAACGACAGACTCTCGATGCGGAAGATCGCCTTGGTCGTCGAAGATGGTCTACCGGCCGCTGTCGAGGAGTTGGCTTTTACAAACACGCACCCATTGTCCTATAGACGACTGAGAATCCTTCGCGTGAGTATCGCGTTGGTGGAGCGAGAATTGAAAGAGGATCCACAGAAAGGAGATTGGAACATTCTGCAGACGATATGGGATGAACAGTCGATGGCCTTCGTACCTCGACTGGCAGAACTTGTAGCAGAAATAGCACAGGATTTGAACGGGTATTTCCGTATCGTCTCGCCGTTCCCTGCCCAACAACAGTCACAAACCCAACCCCATACTGCAACAACATCTTCCCTTCCGCAGGTTCTCTCTCAACTGTTCCCACTAGCCGAGGCTATACTTGCACTTCTCATTCGCCTGATCAAAATCGCCGAACCGCCTTTGTTGTCATTCTCAATATCAGCATATACCCTACGTTCCCTTGCCCTCAGTGTCGCAGATATCTTTACATGTACTGATGAAGTTGGCATCTTATATGCACAAGGCACGCCTGCCTCTGACGCTGCACAATCGGCTCATCAAGCCTGCATAGACTTTCTTCGAAAAGCATCCACTTTCGGACCCGGAGGCATCCTCATTGAGCCTCAGGGAGGCAAAAGCGGGGCAGAAATCGTGATGAGCGTATTGCTTAAGAACGATGTAGGCATGTCTGGCAGAGATCCCGCGTATCATATTTCGCGAATGTTTACTCTGATCGACTGTATTCTCCTTGATCCGAGCTCTGGCTCAACAGCTGGAGAGGATATACCTGAAAAAGAGGAAGGAAAAGAAGACCAGGAAGAACATTGGGTACTGCATGTGCTTCCGAATCTTCTAGACGAGAGCCAGGAGTTCTTCCGTCGACTCGATGTTGAAAGTAAAGTCCAGTTCCTTCGCCGCCTGGTGAGGTTAGATAGCAAAGGCTTGGCAGGGATGGCGGAATACTTGTTCGACGAGGAGATGAAGCTCCTTCAGCAATGCACAAAGGCTCTTGTGTCTTCAACTGATCTCACCCCACAGGAAGAGATAAATCAAGTCCAGAAAACTGTCCTGCAATATCAGATTGGACAACATCTCCGGCTCATAGGGGACATGCTTCGAACAGGGTCTGACATGCTCGAATGGTGTCTTCGGACACTGGGAGACCCAGTATTATTCGCCAGTCTTTCCGCCGCTCTCTCAGATCTATCGACTACCCGGATAGTTTCTCCTCATCTAGACGCAGTGACGGAAATGCTGTTGCTTCATTACAACGATGAATTAATACACTACGACGATGATGTCAAACTTGCTTTGATAGTTCTACTCCTTAGGACAATTCGACTAGAAAATGATCCAGCAAAAAATCTCGACATTGATTTGTGGTCTAAAGCTATCGGCGTCTTGAATACACTATCCTCAGAGAACCTCGATTTTACCATGTTTCGTCAGATTGCCGGACAGGCTTTGGCTGTAGTTGGATCGTCTGCATCCGATGTCAAGCTATTGCCTCCAAGAAGTGGTGTTATCCTCTCATTCATGACGTGGTTAACCTCACAACCTTCAGAAAAGAAGCTGGCGATTCTCTGTGGAATCAATGCTGATTCCTTGACAGACCTGTATGATGCTCTATCGGCATCGCTTCCCAAGGAACAACATGGAACACTTGACGAACTTCGTACAAAAATCACAGTTGACGAGGATGAGATATTCAGTCCGGATGATATGAATATACCAGATACCCTACAGCTCTCGCTGCAAGAGCTTCAAGATATCCTTGCTCCCCTTCTTTCCAATCAACTGCGCTGCCGTCGACACCGTCCAGAACCATTGTTCCGGATGTTCTAGGACTAGTCATCTCACCTCCAGCAGCGCTTTTGCGCTCGTCAGCAGCAACAGGACTAACCAAAACTTACTCAAATAATGACTTTCGTGAGCTGCGTCAAGCCACAGTAGCAAGGCAGAACACAAGTAGGCTTCCGAGCATGCACGGTATGGACAATTTATGTTTTCTGTTGACTAAAACTGACACATGCATTTTTGTACAGTTGATGTAGGTATTAGTGGTCGATTGACCTGATTAAACTACTGACGACCACCATAAAATTCCATTTTTCTTGGCTGGCCGGTTCGTGACAGGATTTTGAGGTGAACCCTGTGGCCGTGATGGATGCCTTTCCTCCGCTATTCCATACACAATGACAAATGATCTGAAAGACGAAAAAAATGATAATAATACAAAAAAAACAGCAATTGAGATGGGGGTAAGAAATATCAGCAATAAAACAAAAGGAAACAGTCTTGTCCCAGAATAAATGTCCCTAGGCCTCCCTAGGCTCCAAACTGACAAAAAAGGTTCCAAATTTTTTTTACTCGGGATGGACGTACGAAGACCGTAACCGAAAATGATGGGGGTGTATATTCGGCGGGTTGAAAGGATCGGCACCACCTGAAAATTGGGTCGACTGGTTCTGATTCTTCTGATCGATATGCACCGGAAAATAACGGTCCATATCTGATACGTCGATATCAAACTCCGACTCGGGTACAGCATCTGGTTTAGCGTCTGGAGAAGGCTCCCGGTCCCGGTAGTCGGAGGAACCAGATGGTGGCAAAGGTAAGGATGTGGATGAATTGGCCTTCTGACCGCCTAGATGATACAGCCTTTTCCGTTTGGCTTTCACTGGCTGGCGATCCGCGCTAGACGACGAGCCAGAATTGCCTCCGGCATAGCGTGGAGGTACACTGCGGACCGTGAAATGCTCGAGGGAACGAGTGTATGGAGAGAGTGTGTGGTTGGAATGGCTGAGAGTGGATAGTTGGTGTAACGTGTTATTTAAAGGAGAGGGACGAAGTATGATCTTGGGTGTTCCATCTTCCATGTCATAAATAGTATTGTTCGTTGGGGAACTGGATAAGAAATTGCTTGGATTAGAG